ATAATATGATTATTATGATACGGTAAAACGTTACGCACCGCGAAATTGAAGTTGTGGACGATTGAACGGATAGAGGAGATCCACCCGTTAATGTCTGTATTCGCGGCGGCGGCCCATCGCGGAGACCCCGGATCGGTGTTCTTTCACCGCTTGATAGCCGCTTCGATTACTTCGCCGTAGGGTGAATAAATTACATTCCCGTAAATCACCGGCGCGAGGTTGGAGTTTCATTCTCCGCTTCGAAGGGATACAGTGTGTAACAGCTGCATGTTTACGTTAATTCCATACATGTCTTTCACGAAATATCAAAGTAATCACGGTTCTTAAAAGTCTTTCTGTGCTTCTGCAAATTGTGCAATCTCTCTCTCTCTCTCTCTCTCTCTCTCTCTCTCTCTCTCTCTCTCTATTTCTCTCATTTAGGGAAATACCTCAGTGTTGTGCCATAGCACATTTTCAGTATTTTAAACGGAGCTGACACACACCACGGATATCTCTCTTCAACGCTATAAACAAATCCAGCGTAGCGCGTTATATTGTATCACTCATTGCGCTAAATTACATGCTAATTGCATCGATCACGTTTACATACATTCAGCTGAACCTCGGGAAATGAATTTTCTCTCTTATTTTCCGGGACACCCGGATTTGTGGACGGACACAACTAATCCAAGCGACTCGGCTTCCCGAACGCCATGAGAGCAATCACATTTCCCTCGTTACCCGACTAAATCGAGGATGCGACTCAATCGCCGACGGACGGGACGCGGCCAAGACAAATTCCCCAGGACCCCGCGAGCGAGGTTTCACCGAAAGGTTAACGAAGACCGATAGTGCCGCGAAACAGCGCGTTCGACAATCCGCGAACGAGGCGCGAGGCATCCACGGAGCGGCAACGTCCCGCGCGAAGGAGAAGCGCTCGTGATCGTCTTACCACCGCCCTCCCCCGTCGGCTCGATCGGCGAAAAAGAATATCGGCGGCGCGATATCGCGATGCAATCATCGCCGGCCGGCCGGCCGGCCGGTCGGAGCGACGATGAATCTGCATTATTCAGCGAGCGGCGCGCGAGAGCGGAGCTGCTCGTGGAAACCGAGGGCCCGGCGTGCGCGCGCGTACGTGTACCGAGGTACAAGCCCGGGGTCGGGCCCCGCGTCATCGGGCCTTGCGCGTCCGGGGCCACATCCTGGGCCGCGCTTTGCAACCCCCCGCTGATCCCGAGCGCCTTTTTCGATACCGATTATTGCGCCGATCGCGCGTTCCCGATACGGAACGGCGCGTCTAGGATAGGCCGGAGCGATAGGATAGAACGCGCGCGCGTGGGAACACGCCTTCCTCTCCTCCTCCACCACCACCACCAGCTCCTCGTCCTCCGTTGCCGCCGCGTTCTTCGACAGGTTGGTCGCGCTTTTCTGCGCGAGCAGAATTCCCACGTCGGGATTAACGCGCGAAAATTAGTGCGATCATTCCCGCCGGGACACGTCGGCGGATCACGCTCTAACGACTTCCTGCATGCGCGCGTCACGAACAAGAGGACGGCCGGGTCGGGGCTGCCTTTCGCGCGATACCCAGACGCGGAAGATTCGTCGAGATCCTGCACGAGTCTGGCGATTTCGCCGTACTGCCCGCGAAAAGACCCCCTAAAAATCCCGCCTATCCATATATAGAAGTTACTTTATAAAAGCAGAAAGTAGACGACGTATTGATCGTTCTTTTCTGTAAAAAGCAATTTGTTACCGTTACTCATTACCGATTTTAAAATGTAACGCGTCACAGTAAAACTAAAAGTTGCTCAAAGTAAAACTAAAACTCGTTACCATTTTCGTTACTTTGGTACTTGTGCTGAAGCAGGATTAAATATAAAATACTCATATCTTTGAATATTCTTATTGCTATTTTACATACTTTTTAATTTTTTATTACGTTATTGATATAATCAAACTGGTAACTTTAACATTATGAGTATAACACCAGTTACCAATAATGCGTTACTTCCCAATCTTTTATGAGAAAATCATAACTAAGTGTATTTATTATAATACGTTTATCTAATTGTTGAACCTATTATACATTATAATAGGTTCAACAATAATCAATTTATAGACACACACACACATATATGTGTGTGTGAGTGTCAGCATTTGCATATTTGTAAATGAAAAAAGCTTTTCTTATAATTAGTTACAGTTAGGTTACTTCGCGGACAAGAAGTATGAAAAATTTTTCAGCCACTCGAAACATTCCGGAGGTTGCACCAGAACACCTCCCCATTATAAGCGTGTTTTAATGCGAGATTTATATGAGAAAAACACATTTCAATTTACTCCACAAAAAAAAGGGCAACGCTATACAAAGGCTTTCACCGTCGTGACTCCGGAGGGTACACCATGATATGCATGTTCTATCCCGCATAATAGAAGCGCGATCCAGCGCAGACGAGCGTTTCGACTTCTCGTTAGCATGCATATTCCTCGCGAAATATCCGCGAACCCGGTCGGATCGAATAATGCGCCGCGCGCGCACGGAGATCGAAACAATCGTTCGCGAGGAAACGCGGCAGATCTCCGTGGCGATTCTCACGTTCGTCGACGCTCCTCGAAGCTCGTCGAGGAGAGCGCCGCGCGTCGAGACCACAGGTGTGAGAATCTGACAGAGGCGCGTTATATAGAGGATACTGAAAAGAGCTACGCGCACGAGCACCGTCCACGAGCTTCTTGACCAATATTTGACGTTAATTAATCTTAATCTTCAACATATTGACAATTAGACGACGCGTGTAAAAATAATGCTCAAATTATCCACTTGTAATTGCATGCAATACAAGGATCTATATAGATTTTATCATCTGTTAATTAAAAAAAAACCTTTCAGAATTATATTTACAGCAATTTTTTCAATTCGTTATTATATCGTCGACAAACTCTAAGAATTTATGTTAAAAACGACATATTCCTTTATTTGCTTCTTTATTGATTCCTGAAAAAGTCGATATTATATGTATCAGATGTGCTAACTCGTCTTTTGCTCAAACAGAAATATAGAAATATAGAAGGGAGGGTCGGACCTAGTTTGGCCTAAAGGTTGACTATATGCTTTGTTTATGTATATTAATCGTGAGAGGAATGTTGGAAACAAAATCGCAAAATGTTCCTTTTAGGATGTAAATATTTCTCTCTGAGAGTTTCATTAAAATTGAAATGATGTTACGATTAAAAAGTGGGAAAAACTGATTTAGCTGCCGAGTACGTTTTCGAGCGTTTCAACATTTCATGCTAATATTTTCCGTCGCAAATGAATAAACGTGTTATATTAGTTAAAATGAAGTTTCCTCCATGAGTATGACTGTTTCGTAATAAAAGCAATTTACACTCACAAAATGATTGAAATCGAGCATATAGACGGACGAGGTAGAGTTAACGTATAATGAAGAGTCGGCAGGAGAGACTGTGGAGGCCTCTCGCGGAAACCTCGGAACTACTAATCAGGATAAATATAAAATGGCCTGTATTCTGAACTCACCTTTGTTGCTAAAAGCATACGTCTCTGAAAGTGGCTTATAACTAATCAGAAGACCTGTAAGCCAGTTTTAGAGCCGCTTTTTGTGACAAAAAGGCGGTTCGAAATATGGGCCTTTGCACATGAGTATCTTACCCCGAATTATTAGCTAACTTGAGCTGGTATCAGGGTAAGATGGCCACGTTGCAAGATGTTCGTATTTCAGTTATTACAGAACAAAATATACGGTTTACAGGATTATGGCGGGTATAAAAAAAACCTATAGGAAAGTTGCCTCTATCATATCTGTACAGTCAATTGATCGTCTGAAAAGTTGCAACCTCGAAATTCGAAAAATGGGCTATGTGGGCCCCGGGTTTCCCCTAACAAGCAACGTGTCGATAACTGGCATTGTCGGTGTTTTCGCTCCGCATAAGAATAAGTCCGGACCAGGCCGGTCATTTCGACGGCGTCTGTGCACGCAGCTTTGCAGCAATCTGTGCGGATCGACAGGCTCGACGGCGAGGTGCGGATTAGCGACGCGCGTGTTCCACGCGCGAGAGCAACGCGATCGTACTAACGCGTGTAGGACCAGCGGAACAACTTTCTCGAGTGCGGCGGCGGAGTCCAAAAAAGAGCAAGGCTCCGAATACCGGTGCACCGGGGGGAGACCGCGAGCTACCTGCCCGCCGGTCTCCTCGAGAATACCCGCGGGATTGCGTAACGCCGCGCGATCGGCGGCACCGCACATAACAATGCCGGTGGGTCGGTCGGTCTGTCGGTTAGCCCGGAATCAATTTCATAGGGAATTGCCGCGGAGCGTGCTCGGAGCACACCTTGCGCGCTCACATACCTGTCCGCGCACCGATTTTTCCGAGTTCGAGAGAGCGAGGACTTGATTTGCGAGTGACGTAACTGCGCTGAATCTCCCCGAGAGCGCGCGATTTTTCGTTCGTTCGGGCCACGTCGACCGCGGCTTTCACGCGAACGCTCCCGCGAAAACGCTCGCCTTTGCTGACCGACGCGCGAACTGGCGTCGCGGTGAGAGTGCACCCTGTGGAAATGGAAATTATCGCGGTTGCCGATAAAGTGCCAAGTTTAATGTTTGATCTCGTTAATTCAAGATTAGTTTCACCGACATTAATTAATTTTCGCTTCAGTGCTAACTAAAGAAGAAGAGAAATCGGGAGTTCACGTGAATGAGAGTAGATTCCACAAGCCCACAAAAATAATAATCACTTCACGTATTATTTTTCTTCCCTCCTTTCCAAGTGACTGTTCAGCAATGGCAATGACTGCCCAGTTGTTCCCCAATTAGTTGTTGAAAACGTGCGAATTGTAGGAAGGTTGCTCGAGGTCGGTCGTCAATTTATGTTATACTCCAAAATGTGTTTCTCGCTATAAGCAACTCTTCGAAGCGCGTATTGGACTGACGTCAATGGGAGTGTGTGTGTTACGTGAGGATAATGGTAGTCGGTGTGAAGAAGGGCAGATAAACAAATACACTCACTTGCAGTTATTATAACACACTTTATCAAAATCGAGCGAAGTACGCCCCGCTTTAAACGAACAGTTTCTTCTTCTTTTCCTTCCTTCCTGTATTTCGTCGATTAGCTTAAGCATACGAATCACGCGTGAGATTGTTAGCGCGCCGCGCACGTGTCCATGCCGGAGAGAGGCACGTCGTCGCACTATAGAACGTTAACGACTACCTGCGCGATTCTAACTGCGGCGATCCACTTTGATAATTACAACGATGCGAACGGTTGCCGACGGCGAGTATTTTCAGGGAATCCACATCGGGTAGGAGAACGAGATGGCGCATAGGGGTTAGGGCGAGGAAGGAAAGGAAGAGTTCCTCACGGCGGATCCCGTTCTGCAAATGCCAGTCCGCCCGTTCACACGCACAGCTGATTATCGATTAATATAGTTGTTGACTCCACGCTTGCGAGAAGCTTCATTGAATTATCATTCCGATCGAACGGACAAATCGCGTGGGCAGCTTTCTCTATCTATCTACCTCTCTCTCCTGCCCTTGGCAGTTTCTCACTCTCTCACTCTCTCTCTTTCACATACACACACACACACACACACACACACACACACACACTCTCTCTCTCTCTCTCTCTCTCTCTCTCTCTCGTCGGATATACTTATTTTACGACTGGGGTGCGGATGATGCTACTTTTAGCGCGCACTTCCTCCTTTATATAATAGAGTTACTTGCGGCGCGTATGTACAATCGGCGATCAGTTCAAGTTAAAGACGACGGTGAGATTTTTCGACACGTGTTTTTACCCGTCAAGACCGGTTGTGGGGGAGTCCTCAATTCTCTAGGAAGGACACGAATTGTGTGAGCTTCTGCAGCTGGTCCTCAGTCAGGCAGACCTCATTCGACAGATTGCACTCATCCTCGTCAGGCTTGCGCGGCTGCACCATAACGCCATCGATGCTCCAACCCCTGTCAATCGCGGTCCGTCGCGCCTCGTCCAACGAGAGCCCGGTCATCGATGCCAAGACCGTCAAATCCAGCGAGGAGTATGCCTTCGATATCAGCTTCATTATCCGTTCTCGAACCTTGTCTACAAAAATCGCGGACAAACAGGGGCTCCGTTATCTCCGAGCGCGAAGATGTCCTTCGTTGCTTAATGAAAGATGTTCCGAGCAAGGAACTTCATTGCTTACAGATTCCGCTTGAATAATCGATTATCGGCCGGTGTTGTAATCTCGATAATTTTAGAATCAGACGGTGGACTTGTGTGATGTGCGAACCGATTGCCGTGAATTGCGATAATAAACAGTCTAGTCGAATTAATTTCTCGTGTCTTTCTCTCTCTAAAGTGTTTCTAAATTGAGCTCTAAACGAGCGATTCGTTGCAATTAATATAAAAGGCAAAGTAGTGTGCGTGTATGTGCAACAATACAAGATACAAAAGTAGAAAATATGCTAAATAAAGGAAAAATATAACAACCATCGTGGAAAATTATGACAATAGAAGAAAATTAATTCTATTCAGAATATTAAAGATTGACATGTATCAATTTGACCGGTCAATTTTGCCAGGCTTTTATTTCTTTCCAAGTGGCCGAGTTTTTCGTTTTATTAGTTCGTGTTTTACCGAAATAAAGACAGCTCATAGCATACGCCTACCTTTAAGAGCTGTCATAATGTCCGTGACGTCCTCACTCCATTCCGCATTGAGAGCCACGTGTACCGCTGCCCAATCGCGTTGCCACATGCGCTGTCCTACCAGCCATATCCGTCCGAGTTCTTCGTTCGCGGCCTTCACGTTCGAGGGAATTCGCTTCCAGAGGTATTTCGCGTTGCATCTGCGACGTCGGTCGTTCATTCAAACAGACCGATCGATACGAAAAAACCGGCGCGCCCGGGCGTCGCGAGCGATGCACCGAACGAAAATAAGATTGGCCGCGAATAGCTTGTTCCGCGGCTTGATATCCGCAAAATATCTCATGCGACATATGCGCTCTTGACGCGTTTGTCTTCGGAATACGAATTTAACGTCGAGGACAATAAAAATAACCTCAGGTCGTGTAATCCATAAACATGGAGCAATAAGCACAACGCGAAGAAGTAAAAAATTGGCGAAGCCATTCACGAATCTAACGGAAGTTGAAGCTGTAAGAATATGTGGCAGCAAGCAAAATATTACAAATTCTACGATATTTGACGTAGTGAGAATGACTTTGAATTAATACACACTTAATGAGATATGCAAGAAAATGTTATTCTTCCTTATAAAATTGGATAGTCTGAAGAATCCAAATGAAAAAGGAAGACTAAAGTCTTTCAAAACAGACAGACGTGTATTGAAAAGAAATTTATACTACCAATTAAATATTAAACATTTCTGCAAGTTTAAACATTTCTATGAAAAAGAGATCACATCATGTGCGTTATGATCTATTAAAAAACATTTAACTTGATCTCTTTCTCTCACTACAAGTTAAATACTAATGTAATAAACATGAACCGAAAGTTTCATCGTGATACTACTTGTATTCACATTTTGAGTATTAGTAATATTATAAGTATTAAAATATTACTAATATTATTAATATTAGTAAGGCAAATATTTACCTTTACACAGCCAGCTTTAAATAATTTCCGAATAACTTTAATGTTGACCTTGACCCTCAGCGCTCATTGTTTGTTAAAAAATGATTAATAAAAGACATTGCATAAAATGAATGTAACTTTTGGATACTGTATATACAAAACATGGAATTGTAGGCTAGGAAGGTGCCAGCCGTACGTACGTACACACATACACACACACTGGTCGCCGACACGCGTGCTCGCGTGCTTGTGTCCTATTATATTTGAAGTTTTATAAATATACACTTTTGAGAGAAATTCTCACTCTTCAGCTTAAGTACAACAGACTTGGCCCCCCTCCCGTCGCGGTGCGGGGGGTCTGAGGGGCGTAGCCCCCCAGTTACACGACTAGAGACAAGTATCTTTTTTATTAATATCTCGGAAACTATAAGCGATTGCCATATAGTCGTGTTTATATTATTAAGAAAAAGTGTGTATTTATAAAACTTCAAATATAATAGGAACACACGCACACACCGCAAGCCCGCCCAGGCGGGCGAGCGAGCGTGCGTGCAGGCGAATAATGTGTTTTTTTTTTATTAATATTCGCGCACATTCGTGTACTGTTTACCATATTTCCACATACACTGTATTAAAACAAAAATTACGTTCAACTTCTAAAACTTTTTTGTTAATAACTTTTTAACAAACAATGAGCGCCAACAAAGGTCAATAGCATTGACCTCCTCGAGATCAAGGTTACTCGAAAATCATTTGGAGGTGGCTGTATAAAGGTAAACATTTACCATTAGTAATATTACTTATAATATTACAAACGTCCAAAATAAATATCGTACTTTAATGATGATATAAGATCACTATGATTGTTAGTACCAAATGTTTTAGTAATGAAATTAAGCAATTTCAAGTCACTAATTTCAATAGATTATATATAAATGCAAACATAAACTTCTACCACATTTTGAAAATGTATTTTCTCATATTAATACGTATCAACATGTTTTGTGCAGACACATATTGTGCTTTATGTTCACATTTTGAATATTAGTGGTATTGTAATACTTATAATATTACTAACACTCGAAATAAATATTGTACTTCATACATCAATGATGTAAGATCACTATGATTGATGGTTTAATGCAATAGTATAATCAGTTATATCAAATGTTTTAGTAATGAAATTAATCAATTTCAAGTCACTAATTTCAATAAATTATATATAGATGCAAAAATAAACTTTTAGCATGTTTCAAAAATTTCTTATATTAATACGTATCAATATATCAAATGCTTTGTATGCATTATGCTTCATTGTAATGTACATATCATGCTTCATTATAATATAGAAGTTGAATATTTCAATGCCAAAAAACCTCATTCAGCTTAGGTATCAATCTATTGAAATTAATGACTTAAAATTGCTTAATTTCATTACTAAGACATTTGGTATGACTGGTTATATTGCATTATATTATTAAACTAACAATCATATATTATGATCTTATATTATTATTGAAGTACGATATTTATTTTGAACGTTAATAATTTTATAAGTATGCAGCTAAGGTTGCACCAACATTATTGTGACTTTAAATGAGACTTGAACATGTGTATATCTTTATCTTTTTTCTAAATAAATAAAGACAGACATATATTTAAGTCTCGCTTAAAATCAAAATAACGTTGGTGCAATCAAGCTTAAGATACTTAAATAATAATCATAAAGCCCTAATTCATGAGTCGCAGGTTCTATTCGACATGACAGACTGTCACTGCAGTTATATTGGGAAATTCGTACGAATATCAATTTAAAATGAGAGTACAACATTTTTGACTGAAAATTAACAACGTAGCAATATATTAAAAAGATATTCAACTCACAGATCATTCTGGTAGAGATACGCCGCCAACAATTGTGCATAGGTTTGTGCACACGCAACTCCAGTTGGAGCCTGCGACAAAAAGAGACGAGTAATGAGTTGATATTTCCTTCACTTGAACAAATTATCGAACTAAAACGTATTCAATTATCAGCGTAATCGCCGTGAAACCAGAGAACAGGTCGATGACATTCAACATAACCTATAAACATATTCGACGCAGCTTCAGACTCACCTCTAATTCGGCTTTCTCCAGCTCATTAAGTAACTGGCCGAGATCGCTGAGCACCATGATGTATTCGCTTTATTGTTTAGACGATAATAATGACAGCGCAAAACCTCAAAGCTACGCCGACATCGAAAGCACAAACATAAAGCGAAACGCGGACAGCTGAGCACGGATGCGATACGACGCGAGTACAAAGTGAAGTAATAAACAACGCCATCGTACGGCGTATACATTTACCTACAGCATATCATTTATCTACAGAGTGCGGGCTACTACCTATACCGACAATATTCTCATTCACGAATAACTTTCTCTCTAATTTTTTCTTATTTTGCTGATATTTATCAGTATTTTCTTTTTTATATAGCTGAGCTATGTGCAATTGTTGGCGGCGTATCTCTACCAGAATGATCTGAATTGAATATCTTTTTAATATACTCCTACATTGTTCATTTTCAATCAAAAATACTGTACTCTCATATTTTAAATTGATATTCGTACGAATTTCCCAACATGACTATTCAGTGGCAGTCTGTCATGTCGAATGGAACCTGCGACTCATGAATTAGGGCTTTATGATTATTATTTAGATATCTTAGGCTCGATCCCATATAGCACAAATCTCTAAAAGACTTCTTAAAGAATTCCAAAAGTGTTCTAGAGAACTTGGGAACCCTTTTGGAACTCTTTAAGAAATCTTTTAGAGATTTGTGCTATATGGGATTGCACCAACGTTATTTTGCGGATAGAAAGCACAGAATGCAATGAGTTAAACTTACTCGAGCTGTCATAACGTAACGATCGCGACATTTTGCATTCGGCACTTCCGATGATAACTCGCGCTCGAGATGCTCTTTCGATGGATTGAGGGTGTAACACATAGCAGTTCGAGAATGGTATTCTAACCGCTATAATGCAACGGACGCACACTCTGTTGATCGGTACTCTCGACGAACCGTCACGCGAGATATTTACTTCCAACGATCAATCATGATTATTCTGTCATGACACAAGCGCTACTTACAATCGGCACTCTCGGCGACGATAATTCACACTCGAATTTCGTCTTCGGCAAGCCGAGATCGCGACACGCAGTGGAGTTACTTTCCGAGGACGAACTGCCGCTTAGCCATTGCGGCGATTGCGATTCTCGAAGCGTCAAACGCGCAAACTTCATTCGGTACTCTTACTTTCGATCCCTGCGACGGTAATATGCGCGCGAGATTCTCCTTCGGAAAGTTAAAAGAATAAAATGTAATGATTTGAATTCTACATTGCCGATAAGAGAATGCGATTAATCCGAAATTATTGTACTAATATAAAATTAATATTTTGATTAAAATTGTGACATAAAGAACGAGTATTTTTTAAAACAAGCATATCTTAAATATGTTACGTATTGTTACAAAAGCATCACAAAGTACATAAATTAAATTAAATGTTTACATGCTATATTTAGCATCTCTGTCTATCTGAAACTATAACCATGAAGCTTTACATGACACTTTCAATAATTCGTTCCGCGAGCTATTTACTTTCAGCGGCTATTTAACGATATTTTTAAAATCTCTTTGACAGTTAACACTTACATGCAACACTTCTGGTGACGATATTCACATGTTAACTGAAACCACGGAAAATGCAGAACGGCATTTCGTACTTGATCTGCTACGTTGCGAACCGTTCCATAACTAAGCGCGCATGCACAGTAGTAGCAGGCCTTCCAACTTACTATTTTCATCGACATTTCAAGGTATAATTCAACTACAGGGTTGCGTTCCAAGATTTTACTCGACGTAGCACTTAATTGACCAATCAGAACAAAGAAAACTAAGATATCTTTATCGTGATTCGTTAATTGAATGTACTCTACCCGCTGAGTAGGATTTTAGCCTAGGAACGTAGCCTAGATCGGACCTTTATTTTAGCAGAGAGAAGCATGAGGGTGCGAGCCCATGCAGCGGAATAGCGGAGCGCGGAACGAGAGCGAAACCAATCATGAGCGTTGCACGGATTTTCAATCCCTAAGTATCCATGGGACGGAATGAATAGCACGTAACTAAAATGACTTTTAAATTAATATTTTATTACTCGTTTTTATTATTATGTACATAAATATTTAATTAAATGTGTTTTGTATTGGAAATATTGACTGAAAATATTAAAATCTATAAAATAAGTTTTAAGGCGGTTGTAACTTTCTGAAATAATGACTCGCGATTGGTTGAGCAAAATCCGCGATGTACTTATTTCATTCCATGGGGACTTAAGGGGATGCCGTAGCGAGCGACGAACTTGATAAGCGTCGATAATGTAGATTATCAAAAAGCAGAAAACGCAAATTTCACCTTATCATCATTTACCGACGATATCGAATTTATGTACACATATGTATAGATACTTATGGAATAAAAACGATCATTAAATAGGCGCTAACATGATAAAAACGATGATTAAATAGGCCCTATCATCTTTTCACTGATGTTATGCAAGTATATGTGCTACGTTGTACATTTCAATTTTCTTACACATAGTTACATAATTGTGAATACCACGTTGCCATTCGTATTCTTTCCAAAATAGGCTCTTGCTACTTTTCTGATGAATTCTTCAAACTGCTTGTCTACTGGATGCATCAAAGAAAGAGTTTTTAGAGAAGAGTGTTGTAGGCGCAAGCGTAGTTTGCGAATAACTTTTTGAAGAATATGTTATCTATTATTTGAGTTTCAATATAACTAGCAACAGTAATTTGAGATATCATTTTCATTTCGCACTAACCAATGTTACACTTTATTTTCGCACGTAATTTTATCATATAAATTATAGCAGTCAGTACACTGTAATTTTTGAAAAATAAAACCAATGTCACGACAACAATAGTTCCGTATCGTTTTCATCTTTGAGGCAGGAATACCTTATTTCATTCATGCATGTATCTTTAATATAACAAAGCATTTTTAATTTGGTCAA